TTCTACTAAAAGAAGCATCTGAGCTTATTTTGTCCCAAAGTCATTCATTCCTACTAGAGACCACTGCAAATGTGTAAAATATGTTAGAAAACTTGATCTTTAAATTTGCTTTAAGACCGAATAAACCCACTTTGCCCTTCCGTGACTAGCCATCAGCTCATCAGTCAGATCTTTATTTTTCTCCAAATCATTTTAACAGCGATCTCTTTAGGTGAGATACTAATTGTTTATAACCTTTTCACAGAACTCCACTTCGAAAGACTCAAAAGAGAATTTGCTGCTGTGTTTTTTAAACAATATATTTTATTTAGAATATAAGGTTTGTTTGCTGTGGCGTCTCCCAGAGGTTTGAAATCGGCTATTACATATCTGACATCCACTCATGTTGTCATTTTCTCTGCTGGTATCCGTGGTGAAGTCATATCTACAAGCCAAAGGTGTGTCCTCGCCACAGAAACATACCGCTTATCAGCTTATTAAAGTGCATAAACTCCCCACGCCTGTCAGGCCTGAGGCATTAGATTTAGTTCAGCGGGATCACTATGGTAACAGGACTACAGAGGATTGGACATGTCACTCTGAGCTCATTCAGAAAAAACTGTCCCTGAGAATATGTGGGCAAGTCATCGTCTCCTTCGGGCCAAAAAAACAAGTTTTGAGAGAGCTAAGAGTGGCTGGTTAAACATTATGTAAAAAAGTGTTGCTTCATCAGTTGTCAAGTCAGTTGAAAGCAAATTCAGAATGTCAGATATAATATCTCTCACCACTGTCAGTGCACCCCAGGGCAGCTGTAGCTACATCGTAGCTCATCCCCACCAGCGGGTGAATGTGTGTGTGAATGGATGATTGTGTTGTGAAGTGCCTTGGGGGTCGTAGAACCCTAAGAAGGCGCTATACAAATACAGGCCATTTACCAGTTACCATTTAATAAAATATACTAAAACCAAAGCATAAAGCTACTCTAAAAGTACTAGACGCAGAGTCATCAAACTTCAACTGAGAACCAAACTAAAACATGATTAAACAGCTATTACCGTAAAACAGATCGAGACCCCCATTAATGTTCCCCATTGGTGTCATTTCTGGCCTGCAGAGGGCTCCAGAGTGCTGTTCAGTGTGACGTTTCTCACGTTTCTGTCTCAAGAATCACTGAAACCAGCCAGAAAACAATAAGCTAAAACAGCAAATTTGGAAAACAAGTGAGCTTAAAACATTTTTTTCATGTCTTTTAGCAATGCTCTAACGTATAAATTTGCAGTTGGAATAAAAAAAAAAGAGTAAAGTGATTCTCTTGCATTTAGATTGCATTTGTTCAAAAACCTCCGCCAGTGACACGTTTGAGACCAAAAGCAACTCTTGGACCGTCCAGTTATTGGCTCGTCAAACCGCCGCTCTTGCACACTTTCCTGGGTCCTCCATTCATTATGTACTGGCATATTTAGCAGCAAAGAAACACTGGTGCAAGAGGGATTTGGGGTTGGGGTAAGGTGTCCAGAGCAGGGGAGGGGGTTGGTTGAATAGGGCAATCATGAGGTATGCTCCACCATATGAGAGGCAGCAGGGGCAATTCTAGGGTCTGACTTTATGGGTGATCAGCACCCAGTGAACAGCTGGCTGCAACTGACTACCTGGAACCCCACCCCCCAAAAAAAGATTAAAAGAAAAGAAAATTCTGTGTTTTGACAGAATTTGCGTCCATAAATAGATTTTGGTTTAACGTCCTCAAGATGAAGGAGGGAAAACTGAATAGTTCTGTGAAACAGATCAGACTTCTTCACAGAATCCTAGAATTACACAGAACAAAGATCTCTGGCAACAATAGGATACTCACTACAGAAGGCTGACTTAAAAATGTTGGAGTGAACAGAAGCCCACTGTAATCAGAACGCTGAAGATCACAAAGAAGAAACAAAAGAATTGTAGAAAGTGTTGAAGGGGTGGATGCTTCTCCATGTTTTTGTTTTTTTCTTTATGTAGCGGAGGCAAATTTATGATTTATCTGTTATGACCAGGAAGATGTAATATTCTATATAAATATAAAATATTAACCTGCGAGGTCTATATTGTAATTATTCAGAAGATTCTAGGATTTAATTCAGATCTAGATCTTTTTTGCTTTTTCAGTGATCCACCACACTTCGTGTTACTTCAAGAAAGAGTCAGGCTTATAAAAGTAAGACTTTATTTTACAAACAATTTAAAACATGACTAATTAATTAAGCATTGTGAGTACATGTAACTAAACGTGCTGAAGGAACCTGTGTGTGAGTGCGATATCAGTCAGAGCTTCCTTATCAAAGTAAGCTGAGTTCTGGTGAAAAGAATTTTGTTTGCTCTAAGGCAGCGGTTCCCAAACTTATTTAGCCGCGCACCCCCCAGCCCCCACATCAGGGCATGGCAATATATATATATATATATATATATATATATATATATATATATATATATATATATATATATATCAGACGTCACACTAAACAGTCACTCGACAGACAAGGTTAAACAAATATGATCAACCTTTTCCCCCATCACTTTCATTTTTATGTTTATGTATAATGTATTTTTTTTAAAGTAATTAATAAACATTCAATATCATTACAATTTCCTTTGATTTAATTTTAAATCAACATTTAGAGTGCCCAGGTAGCACATAAACAATGCAATTTAACGGTTTTCTTAAAATAGGAACGTTTAACCTGTGGCCAGAGCTCTCTCCTTCCTTCTGCTCTGCGTAAACCTGAACTGGTCACCTACTTGTGCGTAATCAAATATCTATAGGGGAAAAGATGGAAAAGCTATAGCCATGAGGTTCACTTTTGCCTCAGACCGACTTATTGCTGTTTTATGGTGTGGCTGAATCTGCGATCCGCTGCCATACTGGAATAACAAATGCTGCAGTAACATGATTTGTGATCAGGTTCATGAGGAGTCACTGGCTGCAGCGGACCCGACTTTAATACATCATCCCAAAATAGAAGCTAATATCTTAATTTGACCTTGAATGAAAAATGTTGTTATAAAACCTCTTAAAAGTTTTTATCACAGAGGAGGCAGCGCTCATTTCTGCCTTCAGTCTGACGGCGTGGTGCAGCGTGCGCTTGCTGAATCAGTATCACCACCTTCAGATTTCTCCAACATGTTAAAAATGATCAAATACGGAACATATCTTGCTACTGACAGCGTGCGCAGGTCAGAGTGCTGAAGCCGAGTGCTGGCGCATTATTATTATGAAGCTAGGGCACATGCGGAGGACACACACACACACACACACACACACACACAAGCAAAAATACTTGTTTTCAATTGCATTTATTGGGCCCACTTACTTTTTCATTGGCCCAGCCACAAATGAGTTTCTACGCTAATGGTGACTTTTGACAGACTTCTCTGAGCTCCACAGCCATTACACTTTTCACCTCGCGCACCCCCTAGCGGCAGCTCGCACCACACTTAAGGAATCCCTGCTCTAAGGTATAACGTGGTTATCATCAAAAGAACATTCAGACGCAATCTGTCATGTCTACTTCACCCGTTTCAGAGAGACCCTCTTAGTGGATCAGAAAGTCACAGGGGCCGGCTGACCGCTGGCACCGGAGGGCTGTAGAATACCGAGGTACCGACTCTTCAGTCCAGAGATGTCTCGGGTCACAACAGTCAGGATGGAACCCTGCGTGTGGAGGACTCTTAAGGAGTCTAACAGTATCAGTATTGCTTATGCAGGAACTGTTTGTTCATCAGCTTTGCAGGTGCAAAAAGGTTTTGACGACGTGTCAAAATCTTTGATGGTTAAAGAGGTTTTGCTACAGATGGCCGGTCTGAGCGATTCTCTAGAACTGTTGAATCTCTCAGATTTATCTAGGTTTAAGGTTTAGCTGTTATGATTTGGACAGCCAATCAGAGGCTGACAAGTTTGAGAGATGTTACCAAGACAACTCAGAAACACGCCCTCTTGATACAGGATGTTCTGACTGGTTTAATACGATGTGTGTCAGGGTTTTACTTAGCCGTACTTGTTATGTGTGAGTGTAGGTGTGAAAACCTGTCGTCTAAACATGTTGAACACATGGCAGTCTTAGTAGACATCATACAATAGCATCCATTCAGTGAGCACAGATTAATGAAGCATTTCATTATACTATAATTATTATAAGTAGTAATAAACAAATGTTTAATGATTATCTAGATTATGAGTCATATAAAAAGTTCATATTGATTTGTTTAATCATTCTTGAATTTAGCAGCTGATTCGTCCTGGAGTTCTTTCTTCTGGAGGCAGACAGATGGGACCTTGACGAAAGAAAGTTATTGTTTATCTTTCAGACTAGCAGAGTCTGTGAATTCCAGCTGGTGTGAAGGCAGACTCATTTACGGAACACATGTAATGTTGTGTCTCCTTTCTGACCAGATGTTGAAGAGATGGTGAAAAGGTCATGCTGTACCTAAACTGACCATTGCTGGACACACTACATCTATTTGAGACTCAAAATCAGATCAAACCTGGTTACAAAAGAAATGTACTACAAAATGCAGCAGACAAAGAAGTGACGTAGGTGTCATCAGTCTGATTTATACATGAATAAATATTTGATCTGAACAGCCAGGAGAAACAGGCCCTGCAGACTGACTAAAGGGATGCAGGATGGAGAGCTATTGTCTTGTGATGGCTGCAGAGATGGAGAGGTTGTAATTCAGACTGTGTTCCAATCTTTAAGCCTGTGATTGGTGTTATGTCTTGACTGCCAGAATGCTGTCAGCAATAGAAACCCAGTGAGTGATTGGGTTGGGGGTCCAGCTCGCTGTCTCTGCACACCGCTGTTCTCTTTTAGCTTTAATTACACTGACCAGAGTGGAGAATTTACCTCTGTCAGCCTCTCTGCCCTGTTGCCCCGTTTTATTCTTTTATCTTCCCCTGCAGAGTTTCACATTTGCTCTTTTGGCCGATGAATCCCAGCGTCCTCCATGTGAGCTTTGTTGACTGTGTGTGTGTTTTCTCTCTCCAGATGAGGTGACGATGGAGGAGGTTGGTCAGGCCCAGCTGAGGGCCGGAGAACTCATCATCATAGTTGTGGTGCTCGTCATGTGGGCAGGTAATCTTCCTCTTCAGCATTGCTCATTTATCACTGCACACCTCTGGAGAAAATGCTGCCTGTAGAGCAAATAAGCTCTCTGAGTGAGTTCCCGTCGGGGGGTGGGGGGTCATTTATCTGCGATCGGTGTTTTGGTCCCTGATGTCCTTTAGGCATGATGTCAGGATACTGTGTGTTTCTTGGAAGATGACTTGGCCCCCAAAATGTCTCGAAACAGCCCTGGGTGTGTGACTGAGTTTTGAAGGTGATCTGAATTGTATCAGATGTATAAATATTACACGTGTATAACTTATTGTTTTATACAGGTAAAAACGTGTAGTGGAGATAAATCTACCTACATTTTACTTTGTTTTCTTGTTTTTATTGAACTATGTCCTGTCCTGTCTGTCTCTCATCTTCCTACATCTCCTCTAAACTCTCCAGAAAAACTGCTGCCTGGATTCTTACTTTTTCACCTCATCGGTTACTTTTGAGCAGATCAAAGGGATCTCCTGACCGCAAAGTGGAGAGCGTGTTTTGATGCGTCAGTGAGGTGAAATCACCGCAGCACAGGTGATGAGCTCCGCCGCGGCAGAGCGCTTCAGGCACAAATAAGACAGAAAGTAGAGAACATGTGCGGACATGAACGATCGTGTGTTAATTATAGTTTTTTGGTTGTGCCACTTTGAGAATGGACCGTGTGCTGGACGCAGCAGCCTGGAGCGCTGCGCAACAACGATCAGCGCTGTGCCGCTCTCTGTGCTCTCTGCTCAGAAGAGTCCATAAATGATGTCATATAGGTAGAAAACTTTTTTCCGGCTCCCCTGGATGTGTAGGATATCCAGCTCCCCCATAATTCGATCCCTGCTCCTGGATGAAAAGCCGGACATTTTCATCAATACAAGAACCCCCAGTCCGGACGCCCCGGACAGAGAGTGAAAAGTGGACATGTCCGGGGAAAACAGGACGTACGGTCACCATAGTACTCATAAAGCAGGAAATTACAGATACAGTATTTTTGCTCGTGCCCTTGCTGCCCTGGGCCCTTTAGAGTTCGTGGGCCCTGGGCAATTGCCCAATTGCCCATATGGTTAATCCGGCCTTGCGGTCCAGTCCTCCAAACAACACCAGCAGGCGGTTAAGTGGGTTAAGTGTCTTGCCCAAAGACACAATGATGGCAACAGACTGAGCGGAGCTCAAAACTGCAACCTTCTGATTACGGGGCGAGCGCTTGATTCCTGCCACCGTTGCCCCTAACAACACTTTTATATAACCAGGGGAAACCCGGGTGTGCACTCACCAAGCAAATACTTTTCAGATCATCACATCTACTGCTTTTACTTCCGGCTGCGGACATTTTCTCCCTTTAGACATAACTTTTACCGGCATAAACATTAATATATGATGTCTGGTTAGCGATAGCTTGTTCAAACAGCGGCCAGCTCCGGACTCTAATTGGTTCTTTTTTCGCTTAGTCCCACCTGTTCTATTTGCTGATCTATTATTTTTTCACGTCTTTTCTGTTTTCAAATTATTCATCATTGAAAATGTCAGTCAACATTCTTCATAATTTTGTCATTATTGGTGTTTATGTGTTCTTTTTGTTTTAGTTCGTGAAAAATGCATTCGTTTTGAAAAAACCCCGAAAACATTTAGTCAGTGAAATTAAGACTGCTTTTAATGGTAACAAACTTTGTTTAGCTGTAAAGGCAGGGCCAAAGCCAGGAGAATGTTGAACCTGTCAGTGTTTCTGGAGAGGTAAGAAGGCAGTTTGGGTGATGTGATTTGTCCTAAATAAATAGTGGAATTGTTCATAAAATTCATTGTTAGACATTTCTCAGGATCTTGTCATTGAAAGTTTGAAATAAGTTGATAATTGTAAAATATTTTAAGGTCTAAGCCTAGCTTATTGAGGATGAAAGTCTCTGAAGACAGTTTGAAGCTTAGTGGCACCACACCTGAGGACAGAGAAGGGTTGGTATTGTCAACTGTAATAGAGCACAAAGCAGGAAGACAACCATGGGGTTGGGGACACAGGTAGATGTAGATGCTTTGGCTTGAGTGATCACCTTAAACAACTGAGAATAACTGGCAGAGGATAAACAGGAGAGGGAGCACAGAGGCTGATGTGGTGCCTAAACCACTTTTTCTTTGCTTAAGGCATTAGTCAGGGTGGTAGATCAAGGAGCCAACCTACACTTTTGGCCAAGTATAGTAAGCCCTAAAAATGTTTTGCCTTTCTCCTTAACTAAGAAATGTTTGAGCTTGAGTTCTTTTAGCTTGACTCCCATATGAGAATGTATCCCTGGTTCTCTAAGCTGGGCTTATGCTGCTTGTAGATAAGAAACCAGGCCTTCCCAAGTTATCCATACTGCTAGTGTCATTGGCTACTATTTACAGCAAAGCTTTCTGTTTAGAGCTTTTCTTTGCTAAAACAGGCCTGAACGATGTTGAAACAAAGTGGCTAAGCACATTCATCTCAGTAATAAAGGTGTTTTATTTTATTTATAGAATGTCATATTACACAAACCTGAGCTGTTTTTCACAGTGAACGACAAATAACATAGAAGAAATATTCTCTGTCCTTGTTTACCTCACTGTTAAATGTAACACCCGTAAGACCCCTTGTTACGGCTGGTGGCTTTGTACACTTAGTTTTGTTTGCCTTCTATGTGTTGTTTACAGGTTGTGTTGCAGCTGCAGCATTTCCCCAGCTGGTTTTGCCATTTGGACTATATCCCAGATGATCCCCCCATTAAAATGTTACGACCCGCCTCTGCCAGGTGCAAGAGAAGTACCATTTTAAAATAACCTGATGTAAGAAAAAGTTAAAAGTTAATGATGTAGTTTAGCCATTATTGGCAAACATTTATTTTTCTTCACTGAGTTTGAGGGAAAAAAAAAAACAAAATATCACTAAACAAATACATCTACTAACTTTTAACAGTTTCTTACATCTGGTTATTTTAAAATGTAACTTCTCTTCCTCCTGGGTGATCCAAGTCGTAACACCCTTTCCATTGAAAAAGCCAAAAATATCTACCTCCTACTGATCCTGTTTTGAAGTACAGCTCGTATTTCCCTTTCCTCAGATGTCTCTGCTCCTTACATCTCTTTTATTTCTCGTTTGAAACTTCAAACTGCCTCTGATGTCCTTATCCTTACTTAAAAAGAAAGCGTGTGCCTGCAAGTTGGATCCTCTGCCAGCTCACTTGGTAAAAGTCTTGTCCTTTTTGACCAGTGATACACATTCTTGATTTGTCTTGTTTGTTTTCCCATCACTTAAAACACCTGCAAAAAATAAAAAAACGATCCAGCAGGAAATCCAGAAATGTCAAATGTGTAATCTTTTTATACATGTAACAGTGATTGTCCTGTCTTGTTGACTAAAGACACAACCCAGTTCTTCCTCTGGCTCAGTTCTAACGAAGCGAGCTCAGTTCTGTTAAAAAAGAAATATGACTTTGTTCATAGCCACACACATAGAAGTACATTTAAAATGACGAGGCTGCCTGTTCATCATCACACCCATCTGTTCACAAAAGGTCAGTGTGACATTTAAGCTGTAAGAGAGAGACATTCTTTGGTGCATCTTGTTTCTACTTCACCAGCACAGAGTGGTCCAGATACTGTATGTGGTGTACATTCCACAGTGGTTCTTCCTAGCAAATCAACCATGAGAGAAGTAATATACTGAGAGAGAAAGAGAGTTAGGGGAGGACCAAGGAAAGAAAAAACTGAGCTGGGCAGTGTGGTCAAAGAAGAAACCTGACGTGAAGTAGCCGAATTGTGTTTTTCAGAATTTAATTGGGTCTGTGGGGCATGCTGGGGGTTATAACAGGAAGATATCCAATCTTGCACTTTGGTTTTGTGATGATCTGATGAGCAGAGGCTGACATAAGCAAAAATACTGAATCCTGTTGGAGCCTGGTTTCAGCCCAACACGTGCTTCTCCACCATCATAAATTATTCCCTTTCTCATTTCTTCAAGCTTGTTTTCTATCTGCTTTCACATCCACAACTCAAGTGCTGCCTTTCAGTTTTTTTCTGTCTTCAACATGAGACAGGCTGGATGTGCCTGTCTCAATGTCAGATTCATGTTTCCATCTCCTCATTTCACACTCTTCACATGCTGCTCATTGACACATCAGGAAAGAATATCTGTCCCCCTCTGGCTGATATTGACAATACCTGTTTCTGTTTGAAATCCACCAAATGAATTCAGAGGCACGAATAACAAACTGGTATCAGAGTAGAATTGCATTCCTTTAAAACAAGTGAATGTAAATTTATTAGGTTTAAGTTTTACACATTCTCTATTTCTTTTGTTTATCATATTCCAACATTCAGCCCTTTCTAATACTGGATTCTGTAACTGAATGTATGATATGTTAACCCTTTCCTGGTATGTTGGCTGTGTTATATGGTTTCCTTTAGCTGTTCAAGTTTAGTTTTGATCCAGTTTGGCGTTGACACAACACCATCCACTACTCTTGATAACAAAGATACAATAAATATAATGATTTGATCTAAAACTGAGTCAAAGGTTAGAAAAACTGATTAATAGTGAGCAGCATGAATAATTTCTGTGCTCTCTTTTCTCTCAGGGGTGATCGCCTTGTTTTGTCGGCAGTATGACATCATTAAAGACAACGAGCCCAACAACAACAAGGACAAAGCCAAGAACTCGTCAGAGTGCAGTACCCCAGAGCACCCACAAGGGGGTCTACTGCGCAGCAATGTCTAGGACCAACTCTATCGCCTTCTGCAATAACGAACCGTAGATCTCAGGACAGGTGAGTGTGAGAAATGTATTCCATCTTTAAGAAGTTGTTGTCTGCCATCATACCAATAGCTGTTTTTCTCTCTGGCTTTGAGCACATAGTGAATGTGTCTAGCATAATCGAAACAATGACAAATCGTTGGGTTTCTAACATTCAGAGGTGATACTTCTTGACTTTAGAGACTTTTTGGTCTAAAAGTATAAAACTTGTTTAGAATTCAAAATGTCATTAGGATCTCATAGCTTTAAATAATGTTTGGAACATCTAATACCATTATATACAGAGGAAGAAACTGAAATAATTTTTCTCAAAAGCTTTTTCTACAATACAACCTTACTCCGAATTTTAGTTTTTTGTCTTTTTTCCACTGTGCCTGTCAACTTTGGTACCTAAAGCCTGTTCTACTCCAAATGTGGTATGAAGGAGGTCCGGTTTCCGGACAGACTGCCACTCATACCGACTGAGGTTTGTGCGCTGAACGTTTGGATATCGGCTCCCACAAGAGCACCAAATGGTTATAAATTTGACACAATAAGCTAAAAAAGATACATGTAAAAATAATAAGTACTATCATACACTGTGATCTGATATCCCCATTCATAAAACAAAAGCCATCAAAAATTTTGTGACACGGGTTTTATTCTTGAAATAAACTGGATGTACCTCACTTAAGCATGCCTCACATTCTTTCTGGAGCTCCGCATCCAGGTCCGCACTGCTCCACAGCCAGTGTGGGTGCTTTGATTGGACTCAATGTTTTTTGGTCTGTGAGGAAGCCGTATGGAAACCGGGCCGCTTCGGTGTATAGTAACATGCTAGTGACAGGATCGAACCGGAACTTATTTCTTGTATCCCTATGTAGGATTATATGGAATATCACATCTTATTGGTCATTTAATGTAATAAATGTAGCTAAAATCCTCACCACTACATAATGGCAAGCCAGCCAGGAGATACTGATAAGATGTGATATTCCATATAAATAGGAATTATCAATCTGATTGGTCTTTGATTATTTGACTTAATATTACCTTAGGTTATCTGACTATTCAGGGAATACACACTTCATATTAATTCAGACAGAGTCAAGAATGTAGTTGATCAAAATGAATTAAAATTCTATATTTCTAAACCTATGATTATACATGAAAAAGTATGAATGAAATGATGGTTGTATGGGATGACAGATATTGAATGAAATTATGGAATGTAAGCTAGATGCTTGTAGCAAAACCTCAAGTATCTGAGAGGTCTTGTGATGTCTGGGTTGTAAAATCAGTTTAACTGTATAAGCTAGAGATTATTCAGAAAACCATCCGACACCATCGTGCAGAGTCTACGTTACCCCTTGTGTGAGGGTATCTCTTGAGTAGTCCGGGGAAGAGGCAGTCTGAGTGGTGAGTTCACCGGACGTTGCGGCTACACGAATCTCAAAGAGTCGTAGCCCCTTTTGAATTCAGATATCACCAGCCAGAAGATACTATCAGGGTCTGCAATTTAGATGTTCCACATTTGAGGTGATGTAGTGTCTGATATCGCTCGCAAGCGTTGCAGAGAGGCTTTAACATTGGTCAAAAGAGAGGATGGTTCCAAATGCTTGCGCTCCCGGTCGGCCTAACCAAGTGAACTGGTGAAGAACTGGTTAGATCAGGAAGTGATCTCTGTTTTTAGTAACTGTTGTTGACAAATTTAGACAAATCAGAATTTGACAAGTTTAAAAGGCCTTACGAAAATATCTCAGAAGATCCCTCCTTCCCTCAGATACTTAGAGAGGTTATTTCTTAGTGTGAAGTGAAAATGTTACAACATTAATAATAATATTATGATACTATTGTGTTCATACTTATAGATGAATTATTAATTCAACAATTACTGATCTGGTGTAATTTAAGATAAGAAATGGATCATTACAGGAAGAAAGTATAGAACACATTAATCAAATACTTTGGACTTAATTATATTGTTCATTCAACAAAAAATGATTACATGACGTTTTAAAGTAATTTATGTCAGGGAAGATATACTTTATTCAGAGAGTAGAAGATAAGAAGTCCTGCATTTTGCAGCCTTGAGGACTCATGACACATGCAGGATCTGATAAAAATATTTGCTCAAGTTCATTTCTTCATATCGGCACCACGGTGTTAGATTGACCCCTCTCTTCTCTTCTGGCACTCGCAGGGTACAGACGCTTCCCTTTTTGCTCCCTCATCTTTTTTTCCCAAGGCTCTTTGTCCTGTCTGCCCACAGAGCGCTTCTCTGCACTTCTCCTGAAAAACCCTATTTTTTAGAAATGTATTTAATTAATTGGTCATTCAACGCGATTGATAAGATTTTTTCAACGATGAGAACGGAGCAGGGGGCTCCCACTTGCCTGCAAGGGACACACCCGGCGGGGTATATGCTTGATTCTTGGAAAGAATGGAGGATTGTATGCCTCTCCCAGCTGTCCATTGAGGACGTCGAAGATGTGTGGATGTTTGGCCTGATGATCACTGGATTTCTTCTGATTGGAGTGGGAGGATATCTGGTTTTCTGGAAATTTGGGAAGATGGGAGCGATTGGAGGGCGACCCGCACCCACGGAAAGCACCGTTTGTGTGGAGACGTCACAGACTGGGATGTTACTCGAGGTGAATCGTAAGCTGGACAGCGTTCTAGCTGCGTTACCGGTATTAGTGCGCCAAATGGATGTCATCTCGGAGAGGGACACCGGACGGTGTGGAGATGTTTAAAACCTGAATTGGCTTCACTGGAGGACTTGAATGATCAGTTACAGACTTGAAGGCAGAGAGCAAAATTATCTCTGCCTGACCCAAACAAAGTCTTGTTATCCGAATCTGATGCCATGGCAGCCTTGTGAATGCCAACAACAAACCCCCACGAAGGAATGCAGACAGATGCTGTGAAAGCCCGACCTACCCCCCCCCCCCCCCCCCCCCCCCGCCTTCGGATTGGTGGACTTCAGCCTGGCGAGGTCATCAACCTGCAGGTGTCAATGTGCTCTGCGCTCCTCCCAAGATCTCCCTCCCAGCTGTGGCTACAGTGGCTGAGCGCCATACAGGGCTGCTCTCGCTGGGGAAACAGGATCCCAGCCCCCACCCCCACCCCACCCCCACCTTCCTCTCGGTGTCTCATGTTGTGAATTGTTGATGTTTGTGCTTATATGTTTGAGGCGTTTTTTTTTTTTGCATAGTAAAGCTACGCCCTGCCGGGAGTAACTCTGTTATGCCTTTTTTCCCTCCCCCAATTTATCCTCATGTAATCCCCTTTTCATCTAATTGAAATGAGCGCCGTTATGGCTGCTCTCGTTGTGTGTGTGTAACCTTGGTCAGGCTGTGCTGCGGAGTCAAGTTCCTATGCTCTGGGTCGCTGGAGCGCTGGCAATTAAGCTTTTTCTGATTCTGATTAAGGAGTTGGCCTGAAAGTCAAAAGTTAACTTCTGGTCATTTGATGAAATAGTTGGCCTTTTGGTATGCAACACCCTAAGAATCCTTCTCATTTATTTGTTTTACTCTAATACTGAGTAACGAAAGCTAGATGCTAACATTGAGCTAACAATGCTAACGGTGAAATAGAAGCAAATAGTTGGCTCAAAAAAGCTATCTCAAGCTACTTTTTTCAATTACCAACAACTCAATATTACAGTGAAATATATTTAACTACTTATCAACGTGCTGTGTATGACTCGTCTTTGCTTGTAATCTAGAATCTTCTGGCGCTGAATTGGCAACAGCCATCAAACTCACAGAACAGGAGGGAGAAAGTGACTTGTGTGTTTTGAAAATCGGCTACAGTAACCAAATTTGACCACAGGATGTCTGACATGGTCTGGGGAAGGAGTTTAACCCAGGACATGCAGAATCAGCACACTCACAGGAATAATGATCAAAATAAATGAACGGGAACAAACAGCGCACTGAAGCATTCGGTGGATGGAGTAAAGTCCGTACTCAGCGTCTGAGGAGGGGAGAGCAAAATAAGGTGAATCCTGAGAAGTAAGTCTTAACTGAGGGAGGTGCAGAGACTTACTGGGCAAAGGAGATGAGGAGGAATAGGGAGGGGCAGGTTGAGAGTTGGGTGAGTCGAGGTGTGTATATCCAGGAGAGGGAGCGTGTGGGAAGCAGAGGAGTCGAGCGACTGGAGAGATGGAGAACACTGGGGAGCTGCGTCCAGAAGGTCATGTAGAGGCGGTGAGTATCCTGACAAGTTTAGTTAATCCAAAGAGTTCCTTCAACAGAGATTCTCCAAAATTCCTGAAGCAGGTGTGAGCATAAAAAAACACAAAGCATATAAATCCAGAAAAATCACTAGAGGCTCAAGAAAACTAATCACTTTAAGGCTGAAATCTACCAGGTAGTAGTAATCATCCCGCGTTGAGGTGTGTTCTCCAACTCCTTAAGAAGCCAGTGCCGTTGATTGCTAACCAGAAAAGCTGGGCACCTCCCTCTCCTGAAAAACAACTCAAAGATGGAATGTGCGACAGGAGTACTCACCCCGACTCATGACAGTCCCCCCCCCCCCCTCAATGGATGCCTCCTGGCGTCCTGGCAGATGCCTCCTCGAACTCCCGGATGAGGGACGGATCTTCAATAAAGGAGCGTGGAACCCAGGAACGCTCCTCCGGACCGTACCCCTCCCAGTCAACGAGGTACTGGACGCCCCTGCCACAGGGTCGGGAGTCCAGAATCCTGCGAACAGAATAAACCAGACCCCCCTTGTAGAACCGTGCAGGCGGGGGAGGAGCAGGCATAGGGCAGAGACGGCTCGTGGTCACTAGCTTCACCAAGGACACGTGGAACACCGGGTGAACCTTAAGAGAGGGAGGCAGGGCCAGCCGGACCATAGAGGGCATGGGGATGTCCAGAGTCTTGAAAGAACCCAGAAACCTGTGCGAAAGTTTGCGGCTGGATGCCTTCAGGGGGATATCCTTGGAGGAGAGGCAAACCTGACCAGGAGCGTAGGACGGGGCAGGACGCCGCCTGCGATCAGCAAGCCATTTGTTGGTGTCAGCCGTCCTGTCCAAAGCCGCCCGGGTGGAGGCCCAAGCCGGTTTGGCCCCCCGGAGAAACTGTGGAACCGTGGTGAGGGCTGGAGACTGTGGAGGGAACAGGGAAGGTTGATAACCCAAGGAGGATTCAAAAGGGGACTGACCTGTTGCTATAGAGACGTGAGAATTGTGGGCTAATTCGATCCAGGGGAGGTGCGAACTCCATGATGATGGGTGAGCGGAACATACACAGTGTAACATAGCCCCGAGTTCTTGGTTCATACGCTCACATTGGCCATTGGTCTGGGGATGTGTCCAGAGGTAAGGGCGACTCGAGCCCCCAGAGCCTCTGCAAACTCTCTCCAGACTCTGGATATGAACTGGGGACCACGATCAGACAATATTTCCTCTGGGATACCGTGTAACCGGAAAACATGTCTGATGAGCAGTTTGGCTGTAACAGTAGAATATGGAAGAGACTTAAAAGGAATGAGATGGCATGCTTTGGAGAATCTGTCCACAATGGTGAGTATGGTGGTAAACCCATGAGAACTCGGTAAACCACATACAAAATCCAGAGCCACAGGAGACCATGGTCGAGAAGGGGTCGGCAGAGGGTTTAACAGTCCAGCCGGAGCCCGGTGATCACCCTTCTGCTGAGCACAGATGTGACAACCTGAAACATAGTCCTTGACATGACGGTACATGGCCGGCCACCAGAATATGCGTCTGATGAGTGCTATTGTACGTCCTACTCCGGGGTGAAGTGAAAATCTGCCAGTAGGAGCCCAGTGAATGACCTTGCTTCCCACAGCCTGCGGAACCCAGAGTCTGTCAGGAGGTCCCTTACCTGGATCAGGGTCAGTTCTCTGTGCCTCCAGTACCTGGTCACGTATCTCCCACATCACACCTCCCACAACACACGCCGGGGGTAGGATGGTGGAGAGCCCCGTCTACTGGTCAGAAGTATATTGTCTCGAGAGAGCATCTGGTTTTATGTTCTTGGATCCGGGTCGGTATGAAATCTGAAAGTTGAAGCGAGAGAAGAAAAGGGACCACCTGTATTGTTGTGGGTTGAGTCTTTTAGCCTCTCTGAGGTAGACCAAATTCTTGTGATCGGTCCAGATGATGAAGGGAATCTCAGCTCCCTCAAGCCAGTGCCTCCTCTCCTCAATGGCGAGTTTTACTGCCAAGAGCTCTCTGTCGCCCACGTCGTATCGGCTCCCTGTTGGGGTGAGACGGCGAGAAAAAAAAGCACAAGGGTGAAGGCGATGGTAGGACGGTGATACCTGTGACAACACGTCGTCGACTCCGGTGTCTGAGGTGTCCACCTCGAGTGTAAACTGGAGTTGGGGTTCTGGGCGATGGAGCACTGGAGCGTTCATGAATAATCTTTTCAGCTTCTGAAAGGCTGCTTCAGCCCCTGTGGACCAAACAAAAGGGCGGTTAGTGGATGTGAGGTTGGTTAAGGGTGTGGCAGTCTGACTGAAATTTCTGATGAATCTTCTGTAGAAATTGGCAAAACCCAGGAATCTCTGAAGCTGTTTACGTGACGAGGGGTTAGGCCACTCTGTGACCGCCTGGACCTTCTCGGGGTCTGCCTTCAGTCTCCCACTTTCGATCACAAATCCTAAAAACGTAACAGTAGAGACATGAAACATACCTAAACATGAAACATTCACCTAAAGCCGGTTCTCCAGGAGTCGTTGCAACACAGATTGCACATGCAAAACATGTTGTTCCAAAAGTCTTTGAAAAATTAAAATGTCATCCAAGTAGACAGTCACGCACTTATTCAACATATCTCCTGAAACAGAGTTCACCAGAGACTGAAACACAGCAGGAGCATTAGTCGGGCCGAAAGACATTACCAGATACTCAAAATGTCCTAACGGAGTCTTAAATGCAGTTTTCCACTCATCACCCTGTCTGATTCGTACCAAGTGGTACGCGTTTCTGAGATCCAGGTGGCTAAAAATGGTGGCGTCCTGAATGGGTTCAAATGTGGAGGTTAACAGAGGCAGAGGATACTTGTTTTTTACCGTTATTTGGTTCAGTTCCCTGTAATCAATACATGGCCTGAGAGTCCCCTCCTTCTTAGGAATGAAGAAAAACCCCGCTCCCAATGGTGAGGTGGATGGCCTGAAAAGACTGGCTGCTAGAGACTCCTGGATATATTTCTCCATACTCTCCCTCTCAGGTTTAGAAAGGTGATATAGTCGACTGGAGGGAAGTGGGGCTCCGGGTAACAACTCAATGCTGCAATCAAAAGGTCTATGTGGGGGAAGAGAAGAAGCACGGTCCTTACTGAATACCTGTCGGAGGTCATGGTAGGCCAGAGGGACGTTGGAGAGGTCTATCTTTTCAGAAGGAGAGGTTGTGGAATTTTGGAGAGTTGGCGAGGCTGAGCGAAGGCAGGCTAGAGAACACTCTGGACTCCATCCTTCAATCTGACTGGTTCTCCAGTTCAGCTGGGGATTGTGGTGTTTCAATCAGGAATGGCCAAGAACCAATGGAGACTGGGGAGAGGGAAATACAAAAAATGCCAGAAGTTCTGTGTGGTTACCTGATACCTTTATCTGCAGAGGGATGGTCTGGTGAGTGATGGTGGACAATCTGCGATCATCCAGAGATGAAACCGTGAGAGGAGACGACAAACGGGTGGTAGGTGTATTCCACCTCTTTACCAAACCGACATCCAACATAGATTGCTCACAACCTGAGTCCACCAGAGCTTCTAACTGAAAATGTTCAGAATTAAAATACACAGTGCATGGAATTGAACAACGGGAGCTGGAAGAGTCTGAATTCCCGCCCACCAGTAGCCCCGGCTTTACTGATGGGCTCTCCCTTTTCCCAGAGCAGGACAGGCTCTGGCAAAGTGTCCGGTTCCCCCACAATATAAACAGAGACCTGACCTCAAACGATGTTCCCGTTCCTCTGGGGTAAGGCGAGTGCGACCCATCTGCATAGGTTCATCAGCTGTGGTGGTCTCAGAAAAGGAGCGATGGCCACCCAGATTTCGGTCAGGAATGGGAGCTGGACGGGCACTGCTGGCGGGGCGCCGTAGCTCCTGGTGACGTTTATCAATGGAGATGGCTAGGCGAATGAGCCCCTCGAGAGACTGAGGTTCGGGGCACAGCGCCAGCTGATCCTGTGCACGATCACTGAGGGCCTCCATGAATGCAGCTATCAACGCCTCCTCGTTCCACGAAGTCCTAGCTGCCAAGGTTCGGAACTCCACCGACATGTCTGCAACCGATCGTCGGCCCTGCGACAGGTTCCAGAGTCTTTTCCCAATATCTGTCCAAAAGTTCATGTAAAGTCTGTTAAAAACTCATCAAAAGGTCCTGCTAAAAAGGCAGCACAATGGCTCTTAGCTTCCGCCCACCGTAGGGCTCTTCCACACAGCAGTCCAATAACGTAAGAAATCTTACTTAAATCTGTGGGAAAGGCTCCAGGTGAGCGTTCAAACGCAAGCCGGCACTGGAGCAGGAAGCTGTGGCACTCCTCGAACTCACCGCTGAATGTCTGTGAAGGAGGAGAAACGGCTGGACGAAAATGGGTTATCTCCGTGGAAACAGTAACTCCCGGTCCGGAGGCAACAGGAGCGGCCGCTTGAGGTTCCGACCTTGAAGTCTGTGGCTGCGGCTGCGTAACCCGGTCATGGATCTGCCGGACCAGGGCCTCCAATTGCTGGTTACAATTGTGGGCTGCGTTGAGCTGATCCATAAGCAGTGGTAATGTCTGCTCCTGTTGGGACATCCTCTGAAAAAGATCTGAGAGGGTTGAGTCTGCTGGGTTAGCGGAATGATTCTGACATGGTCTGGGGAAGGAGTTTAACCCAGGACATGCAGAATCAACACACTCACAGGAATAATGATCAAAATAAATGAACGGGAACAAAAAGCGCACTGAAGCATCCAGTGGATGGAGTAAAGTCCGTACTCAGCGTCTGAGGAGGGGAGAGCAAAATAAGGTGAGTCCTGAGAAGTAAGTCTTAACTGAGGGAGGTGCAGAGATAAGACTTACTGGGCAAAGGAGATGAGGAGGAATAGGGAGGGGCAGGTCGAGAGTTGGGTGAGTCGAGGTGTGTATATCCAGGAGAGGGAGCGTGTGGGAAGCAGAGGAGTGGAGCGACTGGAGAGACGGAGAACACTGGGGAGCTGCGTCCAGAAGGTCATTTAGAGGCGATGAGTATCCTGACAAGTTTAGAGAATCAAAAGAGTTCCTTCAACAGAGATTCTCCAAAATTCCTGAAGCAGGTGTGAGCATAAAAAAACACAAAGCATATAAATCCAGAAAAATCACTAGAGGCTCAAGAAAACAAAGCACTATGAGGCTGGAATCTACTGGGTAGTAGTAATCATCCCGCGTCGAGGTGTGTTCTCCAACTCCTTAAGAAGCCAGCGCTGTTGATTGCTAACCAGAAGCAGCTGGGCACCTCCCTCTCCTGAAAAACAACTCAAAGATGGAATGTGCGACAGGAGTACTCACCCCGACTCATGACGATGTCATTCTTACTTTATTCTTACAAATTGCACCTTTAACTACGTACAATGTTTAATGAAATATAATTTGCTCATCTCATTTTTGATTTCTCATTCCATCACTCTGGTTGAGAAAAAAGGAATTACTGATGACCATTAATGCTATTTCCTTTTAGCTAAAATTCAAAGCTTGTATAACATAGCAACTGTTGCAAGGATTGGTTTGGCTCAGAGATGGGCCACTAACTTCAAAGCAGTGACAGGTTTGCAAGTACTGTGAAATAAATGCAAATCTTATGCTGGATTGGTCATGTGTTGATCTAACATCCCTGAATTGTCGTTTTTTTCTTCTTCAGACCCTGAGAAAAACAAAAAGCCATCCTCCAAAACACAACCTACCAAGAACAGATGGAACATTACAAAAACCATGTTGACTCAACTGAGAACTTCACAGAACGGAAAACTGAGAACTTTTAAAATCAGTGGCTACAAGCAAACAGTGAGCAGCAGAAAACAGCAGTTTTTGTTGCAGATGAACTGGACTGTAGCCTGCTTCCAGCAGGTATACAGGAGTCTCTAACTGAGAACCACTTGAATCATACGGTTTTTTGGTTACTCCTCATTAGTAGCATGGAATCCACAGAGCTGATCTTCCAACGCGAATGTCGATGATCAAGATGCCAGCTCTCAAATTGTGGAATCTTTGGCAGCCAAACTGGATTCACCAGCCCAGGTTTCAGCCAGCACACAGCAACAAGCTAGACTCTGTTTTAAATCAAAGACTTTCACATTTTCTGCTGACCTTTATGCATTACTTTTCTGTCTATTACAACCCTTTGTGTAGCGGCTTCTCTCTCTTTGTCCTTCTGTGTCTATCTTTTCTAGAAGCATTTGGTGCTCCTCCTTTTGTGATTCCTTGAACATCCTACAATCTTGATTTGGGTTTGATTTTATTATCGGTCATGAGTATTGCACGAGTTTTGTCTACTGTCTTTCTCTGGCATCAGTTAAATGATGCATCTGTTCTTTGGCCCCACTAACAGGAAGTTCAGACTCCTGTACAAGTTCAAACCTGAGACACTCATTAAAGCCACCCACAGTTGGTCTGACGATGACTGACTACAGCTAGGATTCACGCAGAGTTCAATAACTGACCTGCAGTCTCGTTCACATCACATTTATTGCTCCGATGTCCAAAAGCTTGCATGCAGTGCCGACTTTTAGAAGAGTGGCATGACGGGATTTAGGACCATATACAGGCTTCATTGTTCATCGCTGCATATTCAGCACCATATGCTGTTTGCGGTCTGCAGGAGGACGCACAGAGAATATGGATGTGGAATCATCACCTAATGCAAAGTGTACAGTGGGCAGAGTTTGGCTGAGTTTCTCTTGCGGTTTGGCTGATGACCAACAGGGATGCCAGGAAGTGAGAGCTCAGAGGGGATGTGTGCTCAGCTGTGTGGCTGAACAGTGTTTCACCATCCAGACCGTAGGGTGATTAAAACAGAAAAGATATTTTCTGGCTCCTTTTTAGAAGAAACGTTTGAAAACCAAGTTGTGGAGGCACATTGCACACCAGCATGATGCCTTATTACAAGCATTCTTGAGATGTATTTGTGATTACTATACCACATGAAGCTACTGCCACACCAGCTGGTAAAAATGAATTTGGCAGTCTTTTGTAGTGGCTAAAGTTAATTAACCTGTAACTGGATTGACTCAAATAAGTAATCAGTTGTATTGATCATATTTTTGAAAGGTTACAGGATACAAACAATAGTAAAAACAGTAAATGACAAAGTTTTAATAGATGATTATTGGTCAGCTCTCAGACTGTTTGAGGTGACTCCAAGGTTTTTGTCCAAAATCAACTGAGGCATTTTTGTGCTTGCTAATGCTGACTAGATGGGCTTTTTGTCGCAGGCTAAAAGTAAAATGAGCTTATTCAAATTAATACCAACAACTTGCCTTGTAATTGTTACTTTAGCCTTTATTCTTTGCCACAGAACACAAGATTGTCATAGGACCACCAACCCTACTACACTTTGGAAGCATCAGCAGCGGAATGCCACTGCTTCAAATATAAAATCTATTATAGTTTATGTGGGAGATTCAAACCAGCCGCAACGTGGACCTTTGTGGGCGTGTCTCAGAAGAGGCATGCCAGGCCGTGCCGCACTGCTAAAGATGGGTTTTGGTCCTATTTTTTCCGCAAGCCGCTTCTGGGATATGACAATTTCCACAGTTAACATAAGGCAGGAAATCACATACAGTTTCAGTGTAAAACCCCAAACAATTTTCAAAATGAAAGACTATTGCAGTGATGCTGTTTCATATCTATGTAGATTATGTCAATACAAGTGACCTAATGACTTACTGACTCCCAGCAACGTTCCAGAAGTGCAGCGGTGTGTTTTTCATGGCTTTAATCTTGGCAGTGGAGAGGAACAACGTCATATATGCCATCAAACAGCAAAATCAAATAGGATTATCTTCTTTTTGGTTTAGTTGCTGATGGCATAAACAAACTGTGACCTTTGAAGTCTAGACGGATTTTGTGATCTTGCGAGTCCAGCAAGGGCGTAGAAGCCGCTCTGCGGCTGAGATTCTCCAGCTGTGTACTGGCATGCAATAAATGATAATGATAAACGACCCGCACTTGTATAGCGCCTCTCAGAGTAAGGACTCCAAAGCGCTTTACACTACAGTGTATCATTCATCCATTCACACACACATTCACACACTGATGCTGAAGAGCTACAATGTAGCCACAGCTGCCCTGGAGCGCACTGACAGAGGCGAGGCTGCCGAGCACAGGCGCCGCCGGTTCCTCCGACCACCACCAGCAGGCAAGGCGGGTTAAGTGTCTTGCCCAAGGACACAACAGCAGAATTCTCTGTCCAGAGCTGGGATCGAACCTGCAATCTGCCGATTACTAGACAACCCGCTCAACCTGTTGAGCTACTGCTGCCCCAATGAAAGTCGCCAGTAAACAGTTTTGCTGCCGTTCTGCTTTGCTGATGCCTCCAGTGTGAAATAGGGGTAGGCCTTTTTGTTGCATGTAGACATGTCCCATTATAACAATGAATGTATCACTGGCATTTTTCCTGAGTAGTTCCTAAAGTGTCCTGCTGCTGTAACAAAAGCGTGGTAATCCTCTACTGGAAACAGTCCCTAACCAATGAATAACGTGTTCTTGTTTGAGCCACAATGTCTTGAGTTAGTAATAGCTCGGGCTAGAGTGAGCATTAGCTCAAACTAATGTTTTGTCGTAAGCATTACTGCCACCAACATTCACCGATGTTTGAGGTGGGTTGGAACATACAGATTTAAGGGTGTGTTTCTGTACTTAGGATGCATAAAAGCAGCTTTTCTCAGAACAGCGGCCATTAGGAAATGGCAAGTTTTCACAGGAAGTCAGGAGGCACAGACTTTTCGGTGTGGTAAATGAGGTTAGAAATTCAAGAACCCTTTTAAAAGTAAAATATTGTTTTCTAAATAAGGGGAATAAACCGTATTACTTGCACACACTTTAGCTCTTGTAAATCCGTGAGTGCATGAAAGCTCCACTGAAGCGAAGTACTTCACCAGAATTACTTAGCTAAAGATAAACATTCATTATCTTTTTTTTTCCCCGAGCTTCCTGTTCAATTAATTTGTGCTGTCTGCTCCCCAACAACAAGTGGAGTTCACTCAGTCAGAGAAATGCTGTCAGACTGAAGTCAGCTGAGGTGCTTCCTTGTTAGAGATAATGAGAGAATGCCTGAGCGCCTCGCTGGTTGAGATGACTGCTAATCATCAGCACAGATGGGCATGTATGCACACTCACTGCTGGATTTAAATACGGTTTTGCCTCAGTCTCTAAAACAGCAAAATCACCTCACCCCTTCACTCATTTTTAAAATTATTCCTCCTTTATCGGCTTTCTTGTTCCTCCTCTGACTCCTGCCAACCTCATCTTCAGAACTTCACCCTCACTTTTCCATCACTCTTTCATAACCAACACTCTCTCCCCTTTCATATCTATGTCCACCATCACCGTCCAGCTCCCCTGTTTCTCATTATATCCACTCTCATACTCCTGTTGGCCACCTCCTCCTGCTCTGCATCAGCTCTTCGCTCTCTCATTCAGCCGCGGCCCATTGCCTATCCCTCGCTCCTTTGCTCATTTATCACTTTTTTGTCTTGGAGCACTTTACCTGGTAAACAAGTAAGAAAAAATAGAGGTGAAAGAGCAAGAAAATATCAATAAAAATGGGAGAGGTATAATGGGGAAGGGAAAAATAGCCTCTTTTGCTCTACTGATAAGCAGTTGTAGAAGGGATAGGGTTGTGATTTTCAGCTAATGAAAAGTTTGGCTGAATAAAAAAGCATCGGATACACGTTAAATTATGAAGAAACAAGCTTTCTGTTGAATGCAGGAACAAGAAGAGAGATAGCATGAATCTTGAGCTGATGATTGGGTTAGGGTACTGATGGGACAAAGAGCAGAATTTAGCAGGCCTTTATTGTGATGAGTAGAGCAGGGTGATGGGTGGATTTCTGCTTTAACACGTATTTCTCATCCTTTACTGTTTTTTTATTCTTTCTCCACTTCAAAAACATCCTGATGTTCATGAGTACTGTCAATGTCCTAAATATGTGACTATACAGTCAGGCCACGGCCCATAGACGGTGCTTAGTTGTGGGGCAGAATCAGTGTTTGTACTTCAAACTGTCTCCGCATGCTATTGGACAAGGATCAACATCACATACTCACCGCTATGGATGTCAGTCAATGATGCAGTCCACCATACACTGTCGAAGAAGACACAAATATGTTATCTTTCTAAATAAAAGACTTAAGTAACTATATCTGCACTTGACTCAAAGAAAAGCCCAAGTCTAAATAGTCCAAAGCTGATGCCACAGCTGTTTCAAACGAGCCGCCGCCATCTTAACTGTTCTGCTCCACTGCATCATCCCGCCGTTAGAGCTCTGTGATTGGCCCACCAAACCTATAGAGCACTGTGATTGGCAAAGCACAAGATTGTTCAGGCCTGTTGAGGCTCCAGTGAACCAACATGCAGAGCAAAATCATTTTGCTTCAGCTGCTGTCTGTCTAGATTTATTGACTAGCAAACTGCAATGAAAAATGTAATCATAGATGCACAAAATTCTGAATGAACGCAAATGAACGATATATCCAAAAACAGTTCTGCTTCCTGATGCTTGTGTGGTAAGACAGATATCTCAGCCTCAAGTAGAACAGATGGATAAGGAAATACTTTACTTAACACCACATTGCCATAACTGTCGTCATTTAAAAAAAAATTACAGTAAATGTTATCCGTGGAACAGAAAGCACACAACCTCGGTGTGACTCCTCAGACGTTGATTGTCCTTTGGTTAGTTCCATCGAGAGAATGCAATGCCGATTGTAGTTTTTCGGCGCTGTAGTTTTCGGATCTGCTCAGGGTCCTTCGCGTACTGATGATGTCTTCATACAATGGCAATACCAAAACCGCTCAGCCAAAATATATTGCATCTCTTTTTTATTCTGTTCTTTCACACAGGTTTGGAATGTAACTTAACCAATCATCTAGTGTGACGTTTTCGACAGGCGCAGGACCACGAGCCAGCCAGAAGGAAATATGGCGTCTAATATGGCGTCCCCCAAAGACAGTAGAACTATGTACTTTAGATGCGATATTTATAGTTACATGGTACGAAGCAGCCAATATTTTTCAACCACAAATAAAATGGGTGGGGGTTGGGGCAATATGGAGTAGAGGAGGACAAGAAGTCACCAAGTATGGAGTGGTGCATGAAAATGGAAAGTAGTGAGTGGTGGATGGTGGACACTTTTCAGGGCTAACAAGAAAAATAAAAATCTGTGAAATTAGTCTAATCAACAAAACCAAACTTTTTGCATTGATGCCTAATGATCTGGTTTTTGGATACTTGTTCTGTGTTCCTTGGTGTACCTGAGAGAACAAACACTGTCTTGGTTCTTGCTGCCCAGGGTGGGTGACCCTTCTGGGTGTCACTGTCAATCTAATGTAGAGGGTGATAAAAGCACAAATGTGTCAAGTGACTGCAACACCAATGAGCTTGACATTGTGATTTTCCAAGCACACGAACACACATGCTTAAACACTCACTCATCCACCAAGTCCATTCTCTTGCTGGCTGCAATCCAAAATGACACATCTGAGGAAGTGGAAGATGGCAGATTTGACCCAGACGTCTCAGTCACCATCTGTCTGACACTGCAGGATCTGAATGAACAGCTGCTCAAGGTGAGCATCCAGTGAAACATGAAAATTGGAAGCTTGAGAATAGAAGAGACCTAAAGACAGAGAGGCAAAGAGAGACCATCACAGAGGGAAAGGGTAACCAGGGAATCAGATTAAAGCTGAGAGCAGGAGAAAGTAAAAGCTTAGTCTACTCACGTGATGTCTGAACATGTCTAATGTCACATAAAGGTGTCCTTAATATTCCAAATCTAAAGAAAACTATAACAAATACACATCTATGGAAAGAAAATAACATAATGCATGATCATATAATTCGTGTAATCCAATTCTGATGATAAGATGCCAATCATTGTTCTTCTTTGTCTTCATTAAAGCTCTGCTTCAGGGGACCTGTGAGCCTATTCACTGTTGCCTCTTTCCAAAAAGACATGTTTGAATCTCTCAGTACTTACACAACTATGTGCTTCATGTAAACTCATGCCCCTACATTGCAGATCTATGACAAAACAAGCATCCCAGTAATCGTCAACCAAACTCCATCTCACCTTATTTTCGTGTACCAAAGGAGGCCTGAAATACGGCTAAATTCCCTGTGGTATGCCTGTCCTGTAAATGACCAAGTTAAGCCGGGCGTACACTGTGCGACTTTTTCACTTTTTTGAGCCGATTTTCCACTCGTGCGAGAATCCACGACATCGGGTCGAGTTTTGCGCCGAGCGGCCGTGTAGTGTACAGGGGGTTACGAGAGGCGATTAACACCACGTGACCAGCTGCCGATCAGCAGTCGTGAGGTCGCACGGACTTGTGGCGTGTTTAATATTTCGCTCGTCCCTCGTGAGGGTATCGCACTGTTGAAGCGGCGCTGTGAGCAGCTGTGACCCAAAAAGTATCAGAACCGCTCACGGCGCATGCGCAATCCTGCATCAACGCCGCTCGCTCGCTATTTCCCTAATAACACACGTTGTTCGTTTTTGTTTCTACACGTTTTTTTACTCACAAAGATTGTCAAGAAAGCATGCTTGTCGTG